TGTTGTTCACGTGTTTTTCGCAAAGGTGGTATTAATAGTCACATGGTTGTCTCGTGATGCACGTTGCGGGATGTGGATCAAAACAAATTACTAGGGCGACAGTGGACGCGGATGCTCCAGTCAGACTTAGCAGCAGCTAAAATCACTTCTAGGAGATAGGCAGTTTTGTGGATGAGCGCAGCAATCACTTCATTACATATGGAGGGAAGAATGCGTGCTTCGAAAGACTAATAAAACACTCAGTAGAAATGCTTTATAAAGGCGAGCAACGCTTTCTTCAGGATTCTTACGTTCATTTCTTCCGCCATCAATGCGCCGAGCAGGTTTTTCTTGTGAAAGAGTTGAAGAATTTCCTTTCCGTGAACAGTAGGTCTGTTCAAGGTCCTTCGTACCGAGCATACGGCGGGGCGTTGATATTTAAAGAGCGAAGCTACACCCATTATCACATGTGTCTTTTGGGCGAACGGAGCCGCTAAACGACAAGCACAGCCTACGCAGGTAGCATCAGCAAACCTCTCGATCCCATGTATCAATCCGTGGATACCCGAAATGTTGTTAGTAAATTTCATGAATTAAAAAGTGCATATGATCATCATACACAAAAGCTATGAGCTATGAGCAATCGGCCTTAGGGCATTTGGGCCATCCTTAATCAATAAACAGCGAGTACTGAATAGTATACAAACGTACGCACATGCGCCTTTGTGTATTTAAAATGGGAGGCGTACATGGATAACGGTGAACAAGGAATCTGTAAGCATTTCCATCTCAACAGAAAGTAGAAACTGTCCTTGAACAGCGCGTCCGGCAAGCTTTGAACAAATTAATATAAGGCTGTTGTCTGCAGAAGAGAACTCAGTGAAGTAGAACTTACGAGTTTTCAACTCAACATGCACTCTTGGACCCGCTTAAAACCAAACCTCATCAAGCGCTATCAGGCAAAATGCAACACAAAGGTAGTAGCAAATGAAGCTTCCGGAGTGGTCGATTATGGCAGCGCTAGTGTGCTTTTCTGCCTCCCGTACGGTTCCTAGTTCGGCTCCAGGGCAACCTAATTCTCCGTTTGAAGAAACACTCGGAACCAGATGGAGAAGGCACCAAGTGCAAACGAAGACTGAGAGGTGACCGAATGTCTGCTTTAGTAATAGGAGGCTGAGAACAACTCAGGCGGGGGAAGAAACTCATGGAACAAATATGATGGTGGTAGAATTACGTTATAATACCCGGGCGTAAACCACAGCACCCATGACTGGTCAGATAAATTGGAAAAAATGATTGTAAAATAGTCAGGACTCAACACGTAAAAACCATTATATTGCACAAGAGACTGCCTCATCACACCATCAACGAAATGTCATTCGTTGTAAGTAATTAAATCATATAAGGACCGCGAATGAACTGCGGTGCATTCCAAGCTACATCAGGCACCGGGGTGCATGACTTCACTGGAGGTCGATGCAAGGCATCCACCAATCCCGACCTGCTGAGATTTGTTCCCGAAGGCCCCGTAACAGTTTATCTGAGAGGTTGTACGAAGGACAGACCCTCGTCTGGCAGTCAACAATAGAAGAGGACAGCCGGGCCTGTACAGTTCACTTTGAATTCCGTGATCTCTGTGAAGTTTTAGATTACATGCAGAGCGGATTTGTCATAGCTGAGTATGGAGCAATATTACCTGCCCCCAGGACTTTCGAAACAACCAAAAGACGTAGAAAACTGAGAACCTCGCGTCATAGATGCATGGTTTGGGCCAGATGTATGTAGGTAGATTATGGATGCATTTCAAAGCAATCCGATTTCTGAACACCGGAATGCCATTTCACTAATCTGAGACAGCGCAATGACAACCAGTCGTGAACTATACAGTCTTCATTCGAAGGCAAGCATAAGGATGGTGTTGAACCAACTTGCTGGCTGTTAGCCGTAGAAGAGACGCTGACGGGTTGATTTTCACATATTGCCTAGGAGATTTAGAGCCCGATTCAACTCTGGTAATAATGAATTTAGTCGTCGTCGAAATTTAATGGCAAACAAAAGATGTTAAAAAGCCACCAAATTCCCGGTTGCCTCAGGTAAATGTAGAAGGTCTTCATTTTTCACCCTGTTCTGTAACGAAAACCAAAACGGTCACACACTCAAAATCTCCCTGAGGAAAAACTCTACCCTCTGCAACCCCAAAGACGACCATTAGCATGTCCATCGGAAGTTCGTCAACTCCTTACATCCCCTTGTCCGCAGCAACCCACATCGTCCCTATTCACAGGATCATCCATTACAGATGCTTTGAATTTCAAGTTACCCCCGATAATTGTTCTCCTGCGATGATCCTCCACTGATCCAGGAGGGTGAATAAACTTTTATTTCGTTTATATCACTTGAAACTCAAGTTCTTCAGCCTCTTCACAGAATACTGCAGCCTTGTGGGCCCTCTGTGGCTAAAGCGCAAAGTAAATTTGCTCAACAGCAGCAATTGGCTGATATGCATTTCACCTTTAACCTTAGAGACACGCGATAAATAACACCACAAGTTTAGGACGTATTTTTATCAGATAACGAATTTTACCACTTCAGGTGGTTGGTTCGTGGGACCTTTTCCCCCTGGCAGTCATTCACAATGCATTTACACCGAACCGGGATTACGTCAAAACACTTTTTAAACCAGATTTTGCACTTGCAAATCGGCCACCCAGGACTTAGGATCAGAACAACAGCAATAGAAACCCTTCTTGCTTCTGTTTATCGAGGTCCCAGACGACAAGCGAAAAGCCGATCCAAGGGTCTTGAGCGAAGGCCTAAGTAACAAGAACTAGATAACCACAGCGCGAAACGGATTCCTCCAAAACGATTCAAAAGTTGTGAACACACAGGTAAATTTGGAAAATTCACCCCAAACAAAGGGCAAACGACTCACATCAAATGAGGTTCCGGACGTCCCGATGCTCCCAAGTCTCGAGGGTTTTGAGATTCAAGGATGAATCTCACGCTGGATTGGGTTTTCCTACATTTCAAGTTAAAATGCACTCGACCAACCACCCTCCGGCGTTAGTCATAGCTGGAGACCCCCTAGTGAATGCCTTTGTCTTACATGTTGAGAATGAACATTACGAAGAGTTATACCAAGAAGGATTTGTGTACCTTCCCATCTTCAAACTTTTGTTTTCAGTGCACCATAAAGAATCTGCCCAAAATTATTCGGCGTTACAAAGAAGATTCGATCCACCTTCCCTCATATTACTCGCACGGACTTCCAACTCCTCCAAAGGTCCTACATCAAACCGCTTCTTGAATATGCCAACCAGGTTGTCCGCTCATGACGCAAGGAAGACGTGACGGTGACTGAGTGGGTCCAACTGGTCGCTACGGAAACTGGTGCCTGCCTTTTAATGCCTTGATTATAAACACGTCTTTCGCTGTCTTAACAATTTCCCCCGGAGTCCTGCTGCCAACGAGAAGGCTTAATACGTAGTCGTCTCTTATGAACAAGGTTTTGTCAACAGCTTTTTACCGATGACCCAACTAACACATGGCTAGGAGTTGGAAAGAAGATTTCGGGCTCATAGAGCACTATTTTATTGAGCGATAATTTATTTCTTTCCCGGTTGTTCGGGTCAGGAATGGCCTTCTTCCGACTGTTTCCAGCGCCGCATCTAGTACCCAATTTAAAGGATATCTAGCCGCTTTTTAATGGTTCCTCTCAATGGCAAGCTTACCACTCATCGCTGAGAATTTAAAGAACATGGTGGCGTTGGCTTGTGAGCTGGCAATTTGATTGCAAACGTTTCATCACCAATCGAGGTGACATCTTCAGTGCGTTATTGTGAAGCGTAGTAGTGCGTAGCGGTGGGTTGGTGGTTGAGCCTCTATAGAAATTTAAAGAACAGTGCTACACCGGTTCTCGCTTGTGCATCCCAGGATAAAGAAAGCCGTTGGACAACAAGGACGAAACCTACCTAGGAAGCTTGGGCGCAATCCCTGATCGTGTATAGCAATCAACGAAATCCTGGTTGCAAATCCGTGTCTACTTTCTGCGGGCGAATTGAAATCCTGTAGTTCCAATACCAGCGACCTCCCAATGGACGTAGACGTTTCCAAGCAGTGGTCGTTGGACTGGCACCTTCCTCTGAATGACGAAAAGTGCATCCATATGTCGTTTGGAGGGGATTCAACGAATGTCTTCGTGATGCATGGTGAAAAAGGACCAGAAAACATCATGAGGATGGATGCCAAAAAGGATTCGGGCATCTGGGTCTCCTCAAACTTGTCCTTCTCATTGCACCATGAGAAATCGGCCCAAAAGGCATTCGCCATTTTACGGATGATCCGACGCTCCTTCTCCTTTTAATCGCAA